TTCGCAGTTTTGATTGCACCATCTCATATTACTCTTCCAATTTTGATGCAAGTGAAGCCAGAATTAGTGTTGCGATGTCTGTCTGAATGATATTCTGATTTTCTTTGCATTCTAAGGCACTATAAATTGATCTTTTAGGACACGTTTCTAACAGTACCACAACTGAGGCCCAATATGTGAGACGTTTGATTAATTAGGAGGGAAATTTGATTGATTTGTCATTATTTCCTAATGCTTTACTATCATAAGGATATAGGCAAACAATTGCTTTAATCTTAAGTATTTCATTGGGGCATAAACTAAAAGAAATTACAACTGAAATTCTTCTTATGAATTTGTATTAATCTTATCTATACATGCAAACAACGAAAATGGATCCATGCTTGCTGCCATCATTGAGTGAAAATAACCAAATGCATTTACAAACACAACCCCAATCGTTGTGTAAAAACACCGATGGAATATTTTTATTTCACTTGTTCCCTTTTCCACTATCAGCGAGATCTCCCCTCTCTCTCTGGAGGAGATAAAAATGAAAAATCAACAAACTGACGTCAGGAACACATCATTTGGAGGCTCGTTGTAGATTCATATTTCCGTTTTGTTTTCATTCATTATGCTAAATGCCATCGTTCATATTTCAGGATCTTCCAAACTATGCTCAACATACAGTACCCATCTTTTCATTACCGCAAGAATGGCTGTGGTGCGAGTCATGGTGCGGTAATGCAACTAAATCCAAGGCAAAAACCATTGATCTTTGCAACAATCCCATGACAAAGGAACCCAAGCTTCAGGTAGATATGTGTTCCTTCGGTTTGTGATTTTTCACTTACTGAGCAGTGAGCTCGCACCCAGACCATATTATATCATTGTTTTTCCTGAATATCGTCGAGTCTTGCAGGGCGCTAGAAGAATAGTTTCTGAATGGCCAGATCTTGATTTGGAGGCAAGGCAATTCACTGCAAAGATCTTAGGTGACGAACTGGACATCCAAGAGCCTGCACCACTTCCTAATGAACCAGAGAAATCAGTGACCGGCAGTCCGGAGGAGGATCTTGAATCCAAGGCAGAGTTGTGAATATAACACACACTATGGTTCAATTCCAGTAGAGCAATTATTCAAAAGATTCGAGGTAACAGGTACACTTACACATAATTTGACCTGAGGGTGACGGCCCTTACAAACGGTATACCTGTATGCTAAACAAGAGATTTCGGCTAATCAGCAGGAAGATAATGTAATATCGGTAAACAGAGGCTTTACAGGCTTTCTATGTCATTGCAATAGCGACTGAGACTCGTTCGGGCTTATTAATTGTTAGCCCAGATACACTTGAGAAAAGAGATTTTGTCGAGCTAATTTACGAAGACTTCTTTTGTGAACGATTGAAATTGGATGGATGACAAGAAAAATGAAAGATGTCTACTTTAGAATGGCTTTTGCTTCTTTAACTAGCTTCAAGATGGTATTGATAGGCAACGAATTTGACATATTTAAGCATTAAACATGTTTATTTTCACTTTACAACTATATCAAATCGCTGTCTGCGCAATTCAAAGTGCTTTTCCAAAGGAGAAAAACTACACATTCAACGACGGTGATATGATTTTTACCACATGCGCAAGTGTTAAGAACACCTATAATACTTGTAAGAATGACAAAGATATTGTAGTATAAATGGTTCTAGTAAGGTCGTTCTCCACAAGGAGTATTAAATAATTCATACCAAACCAAATTTTAGTTAATTATTGTAAAACAAAGATTTGGAATGATTGATTTTATGATCTAATTTAATAAGAATGAATTTAATTAAAGAGAGTAGAACAATCTACAAGTATTAGGGATCCGCCGTCACCTTAACAATCTTATATAGTTCTCCAAATTACTTATGACCTATATTTGCATATTTCGAAGGTTAGGTTTTCCTAAATATGCCTATTTGGACTCCCAATATAGTGTATATTAAACATGCAATTTGTCTATTATATTCAGATCAAATTTAAATATGCATGACTCATTAAGTTTTGTGAAACCTTTTGAAAAACCATGCAACCCTAAAGACGTGGTATTCATCATAAGTGAACTTGCACATATTAGCCACAAGAAGCCTTCGTCAATTTCAGGGACCGACCTCCGACCAAAATTATATCAAATTACTTTTCTAAACATCCTAATGGTCGCGAATCATCAAGACACTTAGATAATTTAAACTGGTGATTTTCAAAAACCTGCATGCATATTATCACAAGCAACTTGAAAAGAAACTACATATTCTTGCTAAGGCTCGTGGCCTCACCCCTAGCAAAAAGGGAATTAGTTACGCATATTCATAATAAAAATCACAAAGTTCTTTATTGAAATAATAAAAGATCGAAAACACCTTGAATATAGAAGTTTGAAAGTCTCTACGCTTGACCAATTTCCTCTCTCAATATCGCACGGAGTAGAAGATGACATAAAATAAGGCTGGCCAAGCTTATTTATCCCATTAAAAATTAATTCCTCCTAATACAAGGTCTTCCAATCAAACTGGGAAACCAAATAATTAAAATAAAATAAGAAACATAATGCTCAATTAAATGGTAAAATTCGTCTAAAATCTGCACAGCCACGTTTTGGAGTTTTGGACCCATATCTGCTCCAAAACCGGCCCAAAATAGCTTAGATTTAAAGTTTGGAATATTCTGAACACTTCTCCAAAAGACCACAAACCCATCACAAGTTATCTTGGGCTCAAAAACTCACAATTAAGCCCAAAAAGTCACTTTCCAACACCGCGCACTACTTTTTTATTCCATTGCCAGAAAATAACCGTTTGGTAGAAAAATCTCGAATTCTGATACGAACACGCCAAGGGACACACGATTGTCTTCCAATTTGAATCACCTCAAAATTCATCCGTTTGATCACGTTTTGCTCCAGAGGAAGTCGAATGTCCTATATTGAAAATATAAAATAAAGTATCAAAATTCTACCAAAATAATTACCAAAATATACTAAAAATAAGGTAAAATATATGATGTGAAATTGAGTCATCAAACGGCAAGGGTGACGGCGTGCCAATTTGCTATATAGAGAGGTGGATAATGACACCTCAATTCAACATCATATACACCAAAAGAAAAAAGTTACAAGTTAGTCACGTTAAGTTTTCTTCAATAGAATAGACTACCAAGTAGTTTGATTATTCCAATTTTTATTCAAGAAATTGAGCGGTCATAATTGAATTTTAAAAATGCTATTTATTGAATCGAAAAAATACTATTTTTTTTTCTCTTTAACAATCCAATGGATGAAAAGGCAAACTGACTCGATTGATGTAGCTCTGATTCTTGTCATAGTAATGCAGTTATCAAATACGTACATGCATAGTTAATTACACTTCTTCGACTCAATTGAACTGTTTCGTTGCCTCAATAGTCACCGGAAAATTCTTGACGACCATTCACTTGAAACTAACACAATACTTGGCCCGCGAATGGGTCCGTATGTGTATCACATAGTCAAACTAACATAATTTTAAAAGGAAAACTAATGAAGAGGACTTGAAAACTTTGAGTTTTAATGATAAGGATAAAATAAAGGGTAAAGTGAATAGTACCAGGATTGACTTTTTAGTGTAAAAATGTGGTTTTTCGTTAAAGTGAACAGTACCGGGTGCTTTTCGTTAAAGTTTCCAATTTTAAACCAAAGTTAACGCAATGGACCATTGACTACACTTTGTTAAATTCAAGGACTAGAATTGACCGAATTTTAATTCGGTTACTAAATCTAAACTAAGGTTATAGCATAGGACCAAATGAAAAAGTTACTCTAAAAACTCTATAAAAATGGTTAAAAAAAGATCGAGTTGTGCACATTAGCGTGTGATGAAAGGCTAGTATTGTTTTACGACAACATTGAAAAGACATGAGAAAATTAAATAAGTGATGTCATTACTGTCTTGAGCATCAGATGAATACAAGACAACGTCTTATATGTTTAATAAGAAACAAAACACAATTAAAATAGTTAAAATTTAAATTAAACCTTGGAAGTAGATAGACGCATGTTTATTTAATCTTCAACTTGTACCAAAACAAGTTGTTGATTGGGGGATAATTAGATAATTATTTGACAAATACAACAGCCAAATTGTCCGGTTGGATAAGGAAGACAGACAACAGTTGTTGGAGGACGGCCAAACTCGGTGCATGGTCGGATGCAGTCTTCCTTGGTTTTGCATTGGACTTGAACCCATCAGGACATTCTCCACTTGGACCCTCACTCGGTCCTTGCTCTGATGTCTACATTTAGACACACACACCAAAAAACATGCGAAAACGAAAGTGTTTTAGTAAACGAGATAAAAACGATGTGCGAAAATCACAAAGAGAGATGTTTTACCGAAGCATTGAGCAAAGAGAACAAGAGAAAGCAAAAGAAGAGCGACCACGGCGAGCTTCAACTGACATTGCTATTGTATTATCTTATATCCCTTCTAAAAGAATTAAATTTACAATATTTGACAAAAATTCTGAAGGTAAACATGCGCTTATTTATACTGTAATTCGGATGATTACAATTAATAATATTACATGAAATAATGTAAATATTGATATGCATTTATCTCGTATTGACCATATAATTATCATTATTTATTTATTGTAGGTCGAAATTTAATCTGCACTAGTAACACATGCATTGAACCAGATATGTATTTGGCACTTTGTTGATGATAATTTTCTGCTATAAATAAATAAAATACATGCATTGAACCTGCAATTCACGTCAGGTTAAATGGAGCTGGGCTGCCATTAAAATGGGAAAGGGATCATATTCGGATCTTGAAATTTGATTCAACGGTTAAAATTAATAATATTAGCCGTTTGATCAAATTTCAAGGGTCCGGATTTGTTGATTGACAAGATTTGGTGGAAGAGATCCGGAGAGGATCCATTTCCATTAAAATGAATCTCCGTCCTACTCCAAATCCAATCCATTAAAACAAGTTCCAATTTTTGAATCACTCTCTATTTTCCAGTTACTTCTTACAGAAATAGGGAAATATAGTGGGAGTGGCAGCGGCAAGCCCGTCACTGAGCATTAACAACTTGGATTACAAGTTGCCCACAAAAACGTATTACAAGCAAGGAAACAAAACAACAAAATTTCCCACCCCTACAGTTACAAGCTGATAGGTATTTACTATTTACCTTACTATTACTATACAAATATAAATCAAAATCTCACCAAAACCTATGTACATACGCTTTTGAACTAATAAACACGTTAGAGCGGTAAGAGAGATTGTTGAGTGTGTCGAGAACACGGCCCACTGAAAAATTCCAACCTCTTATATTATTACACTTGATAAATTAGGTTGCGTTTGATAAACTAGGTTGTGTTACTGCCATACTGAAATTTTTCGAGCTTTAAGAATCTCCCAAGGACTCAGACGGTCAGCAGGCCCATGAAGTGCTTCACTCTCTGCTAAACCTGTTGTGGGCATAGATATCAATGATGCTACTTCAATCGAGTAATTAAACAGTTAACGAATACAAGATAAATATATGTATTGCAGCTTGGTTACAAGAGAGAGAGAGAACGAAACACATAAAAGAAAGGAACCCATGATGAGATAGAACGGAACAACCATGAAAGTATAGGTTTAATAACGAATTGATTTCTCATTAGATTCATTTCCACATAAAATTTCCGAATTCATGATGATTTCGACTCCAACTTCTTGACTCAATCTGTACTTCTTGAGTCAATCTGTTCTTCTGGAGTAGCTGATTCAATTCAAACAATACTGTTTGCTTATACAGTTATCTACTTCTTCACTCGCGCTATTTATAATGTCAAGCCAACCATGTAGTTTGGTAAATATGATAACACCACAAGAAGTTGCAACTTTATAAAACACAAAGATCCTACACTAGCCGGTGCAATTCCTAACCTCGGATGTGTAGTATAGCCTTTAAATTTGTCTATGAGTTCTTATATGTCATATTTACAAGATTCTCAACCACATACCTTGAATGAACTCATGGACTGGAGGGTCTTCCATGAACATGCTTCTCACTCTTTACATCCTTCGAGGCAATGTACAAACTAAAGAATCGCAAATCTTTCTAGATTACCTGAGCATGTCTCTGCTGTGTAATTTTGGCCCGCTCAAAGCTGGTGATATGCTGAACGTGTTACCGTTGCCATTGCCATAACTTGAAGGATGACCAAGAGGCATCGGCCTATCTGGAATCTGTGGCACCTCAATATCTCCCTCCAGCATTTTCAGGGCTTCCAAAATGGTAGGCCGTAAAGCCACCATTACGTGAGCACACAAAATGCCGACCAGCAAATATCTCTCCATTATGCTCTTTGGATTCGAATTCGCATTATCCCCATCTCTCACCAATGAGAAGTCTAAAGCTTGCTCAGCTTTTCCAGATTTCACAAATGACCATGCCCAATCTGTGATCAAAAAAGCACGAGGGGAACCTGAAGATGACAAATCAAGTGCTTTTCTCCCACACATAATCTCCAAAATAACCACTCCAAAGCTATAAACATCGCTCTTCTCAGTCAGCTGTCCATAAAGAGCATATTCAGGGGCTAAGTATCCATGAGTCCCTGCCACTCTAGTAGTGAGATGAGACTGGCCTTCCAAGCTCTGTTTTACAAGCCCAAAGTCTGCCACCCTCGCTCTCATATCGGCATCTAGTAGTATATTTGTAGCCTTAATATCTCTGTGATATATCGCAGGCTTCACTCCATAGTGAAGATAAGCTAAACCCTTGGCTACATCCAAGATTATGCTCTTTCTTTGAGGCCAAGTCAAGGGTCTCCTTTCAGTTCCGCTCTGACTACTAGGCTGAGAAATAAAGAGATGGTCATCTAGATTCCCATTCGGCATGTAATCGTAGACAAGGTATCTGTGACTTCCTTTCTCCTCGTAACTGTCTTCCCCCTCGACCACACAACAACCTCTAAGCGGGACAAGATTCCGGTGCTTCAAATTGCTAATAATCTCAACCTCATTGCAAAATTCAGCATCCCCTTGAAAATCAGATTCTATAACTTTCTTAACAGCAACCGTAGTCCCGTCCTGCAACACACCCTTGTAAACAACACCAAATCCACCTCGACCGATAAAATTCTTCTGCGAAAATTTGTTAGTAGCCTTCTCAAGGTCCTGAATTTTAAACCAAATTGAACCGGTGTTTGGTCTCACTCTAATCCTAGCATCTCGTTCATCCAAGTCAAAACCGGATTCCATTCGAGACCCTATAATCCTTTTGTTCCTCCACCTCCTATCATACCAAAAGTACAACCCCAACAAACTAAACATGACAAACACCGCAACCCCAGCGCCAGTGAGGCCGAAAACAAGGGCAGTATTGCTCTTTTTCGACGATGGCGCATTGGAAGAAGACAACCCAAATATACAGTTCACAACACCATTGCTCTCAGGGCCAAACTCATTGACAATACCAGCAGCATAAAGAATAGTAAAGTACCAACAGTCTTTAGTGTGAGAAGAGTTACCATCGGCGGCAATCAACATCTTCTGAATGGCAAAGCCGGCGTCGACACAGCCCCCGCAGAGGGAGAGATCGGCGAGGTCAGGGCGGCAGGCGGAGTCGAGGACGGTGGAGTTGCCGAGCTTGGAGACCCAATCACTGGTGGACTGAATGTTGGCGCAGATGTTGGGGGAGATGACAAACTGGAGAGGGTCAAAGCAGTAGGAGACAAGATTGGGAGAGAGGGAGAGGGAGGAGAGCTTGGACTGGAAGTTTTGGAGGCAGGAAATGGAGGTGGGGAGGTTGGGGAGTTGGAAGAGGGAGGTTTCTTTGAGGTGTTGGGCGAGGGAGATCCCGAAGAGGGACAAAAGGGTTTGGCAGCAGGGGATCTTGGTGAGGTCCTCCGACTCCATTTGTGTGGTTTTGGAAGGAGGTTGGAAGTTTTTGCAGGTGGAGGAGTTGAAGGGGATTCTTAGGACATAGCTCAGATCCATTGGGCACGCTGCTGTTGTTGTTATATTTGTTCTGGGAGGAGGAGCTGGTGCTGGTGCTTCAGCTGCTGTCGATGGAGATAAGGTAGAGAGAGAAAGTAGAGAGAGAAACAACCAAAACCCAACTGCAAGTTTCATCATCTCTTCTCTTTGTCTGTTCTAAATTTCCAAATTTCTAAATTCCTAAACTTCAGATTGTGGGTTGTGTTTGATTTTGGAAAAGAAAAGCTGTGCATCTAGTTGTAGAGAGAGAGAGAGAGAGAGAGAGAGAGAGAGAGAGAGAAAGGAACTGACTTTCCTGTGCTGAGTTCGAGTTCTGAGTTAGGTTGATCTTTCACTCCTCCTCTGAGTTTCAGAGATGAGCTTTAGGATTGGTTAGTCAAACCTCCTCTGTTTCTTTTCTTCTGGCTGCCGGGATGGTTGGTGCCACAGGAACTGTCAAAGGGCGCGTGGCCTAAACGGCCTTTTTTGTTGACAAGATTAGATTATGATGTGCATGAACGTCAGAGGAACGTGTTGGACTTACGCTAGATCCGGCAATTGTATTAATTAATTATTAATTTGTGATTTAGAATCGGACGACGCTCATTTTTCTTACGCACATTTTTGGACCAAGAATGTCCGCCCTCTCATTTTTCATCCCCTTCCCATCCTTTTTTATTTTTTTATCATTGATTTCATGTTGAGTTAATTTGATGCTCTAGATTTTACCAACTCACATATTTTCACTCTCCTTTCTTCCTCTTGCTTCTGCTACTGCATTCACAATCCATGGCTCCTGTCACCTATCTCTCCCACTTGTCACGAGGGACAAGAATTGTCTGCCTTTCACTTTGATGTCCTTTTCATGTTTTTCTGTTTGTGTGGTCACGGTTAAGTCACGTCAATATTTTATATTATTATTTATTTTTATCTTATTATATTTATAAAAAAAATATAAAATATTAACGTGGCTTAACCGTGACCACACAAAACATGAGGGACAGAAAGGGCACCAAAAGTGGAAGGCAGAGAATCCGGATCCCTTGTCATAAGCCCCAGAAGCGTCATTTCGAATGGGGTGGCTTTAGAATCTTTAAAGTTGAAAGCTTTCAGTCCACAGTTTTTGCTACTTAAACCCCCCAAATCGCACAATCTAAATCCACCCAGAGCTTCCACCAATGGCGCCGACAACGGAAGCATTGAACCCAGCAAACCCACTCGCGGCAGGAAAAAGGGCACCCCTTCTTCTTCTTCGGAAGCACCGAAAAAACCCAGGCGTTCGAAGAAATCCGAGGTCGTAAACGGCGCCGTCGAACCCCAACCCGAAAACCCGAATTCGGAACTCGAGGATTACGACGACGGCATAGATTTCCCGTACGATTACCCGCCTCTGGTTTGCTGCTTCGGCGCCGCGCAGAATGAGTTTGTACCGACGGTCCGGGTCTCCGACAACCGGATGCACCCGGATATCTACTCGCAGTGGAAGATGCTTCAGTGGGACCCGCCAGATGCACCGGGATAGCCATTGAATGACGTTTCTTGGTCTGTGAATGTAGCAGCAGAAGCGAAGAGGAAGAAAGGAGAGTGAAAATGTGTGAGGCGGTAAAATCTGGAGCATTAAATTAGCTCAACATGAAATCAAAAGCTAGAAAAATAGAAGGGGATGGAAGGGGATGAAAAATGGGAGAGAGAATCTTGATCCCACATTTGTATATCGATTTTGTAGGACCTCCTCTATTGAACTGTCTATATTTTAATTGATCATTTATAGATTATTCATACAAAAAACTAAAATAATTAAGAAATTCATTATAAGTGAAGAAAATGGACAAATAGTTTTACAATAAGGGGTGTGATATCCACATATCATTTTTTTATATCTCACACATTCTTCTAATTTTCGACCGTCGGATTGAATGAATTAAAGAAGATCAACGAACAGAAATTAATAAAGGACGCGTGAGAAGTAAAATGGGGTGTGTGGATAGCACATCCTTACAATAAAACACTAAAATGACTATCATTTAGTCTACAGTCATAAGATTTGGAATTTGAGTGATTTTTTATAAACATGATCTTTGAAGGAAGACCCCATGATAGATAGTTTGGATTGTTGAAATATATTACAAAGTATGCCCTGCAAAATGAGTGTCAAAACATGTGTCCCTCGATCCTCACCCGTTATTTAAAGTTTAGATTTTACCTCCGATCAAGCCCTAATTAGCTGGTAATTCAATATGGTGCTAATCTCTCGTTTGAGCTCGCTTTACAAATTAAATATCATCATCATAAGTGTTTGTTTTTGAGGTCTTCATTCATACATCTTTTTTGCAAAAAATCACTCAAGTCAGAAATCGTTTAGCGTTTTAACTATAAATTTGAATATTTCATGATTAATCCGAAAAAAAAAGGGTGATTGCCTATCCTTCAGGTCACGGTTAGATAACTAAATGTATTCTGGTTTCAATGAAATTTTGCAGAATGATAACCTAACAAATAGTTGGTTCATATTATGAAAAAATATTGTCAAGGGGAATAGACAAATGATTAATGCCTTGTTAAGTTGCTAACTGATATCGCTTAAGCACTCACATCTCCTATTAATTAAAAAAAAAAGTAGGGAGACAATTTTTTAGGCCACGATTGTAGATCATATGATGTGTCTCTAATAAAAAATAAACTCGTTAATCATGTATTTAAGTAATAATCTAATATTTCCTTTCCCCTCTTTCTTACAAAACCCTAAATATATAAACTCCATATCCACCGGCCCGTTGGTCCGGCTTAAGGCCATTGGCAACCCCGCTCTCCATTTTTCTAGTATTCCTCCTTTATCTTCTCATGGATTGTTGCTTCTCAATTTTTTTGTCTTAGTATCTCGCCAATAAGTGTCTCCTTGGTGAGGTTATGTGTGAATCTTTCTTCATAAGTATTTAATTTTGTATTCATGTGATACCAAATCATTTGGTTCCACTTTGTTGGAATTAGTATCTTTGTCAATGGTGTTACTTGTAAAATTCATGGTGATATGGACACTAGTTGGTTCGCTGTTGTTTCCTCTTTGGAGTCAGAGATGTTAGTTGTTAAAGAGTGTTGATTCGTTATATTAAGACTTTGTGCGTAGAAGTTTTCTTAAAAAAAAAAAGGGAGTTTATCTAGCTTTGGAGTGCCATCTCAATTTTCTGAGTTTGGGAGTGGATCATTTCAAGACTTGGATGTGTTTCTTTGCTTATTATTGGGCATGTCTCGCCCTCAAATCCACCAGTACGATGATAATTAGATTGGCCAAGTTGACCTTTTATTTTATGTTAAAGTTTCATTGGATTAACTATTATCTCGAATGTCCTCCTTGATATTTGTAATGATTCTTAAAGTATAATAAAACCGCTATCGTTTCATCTAAAAAAATTAGTAATCATCAACAATCACAGTATATATTCTTTACAAAATATAATTTTAATAAATTGTCTTGTGTCTAGCATTACCCAAAAAACACACACTGGCAGATTGGCTACCTTTTCTAGTAACTTCTTGTTATAACCATCTTCACATTAAAATAAAGAAAACCAAACTAACGAAAAGGAGGATAAAACATGAATTACATATGCCTTTAAATATAATATAATATCAATTAGTCCACAGTTGCCAATTAGCTACGGTAACGTGTCCGTCCCTATCCAAAAATTGGACTAATTTATAATACCAACTTGTACAATAAAAAACAAATTTATTAAAAGTAAACAACTAATTAGAATTAATTAGAAAAAAAAAATCAACATAGTTTACAATAATTACACGTGTATTGAAGGAGGCTGCTTGGACGGATCTACCCCTCTCACACACGGGATAATGATAAGCATGATTGAACACACATTTCAAAACATATATCGAAGTACTTAAAAAAAAAAAAACATATATGTATGGCCGCGAGCTTGCAATGGTACCTCTTGTAAATGAACGAATATCCTTTCTGGATTCTCTTTGTAAGGATTATAAAGATTCTTAAATTGTGTCTGTTCATCATACATTATACGGTCAAAAATTATTTTAAATATTTTTATTTAAAATTAAATATGAACATTATCTAATGAAAACTGATCGTACGATGTACGATGAACAAACATAATTTGAGGATATCCGGAATCCTCACAAAGAGGATCCGAAAAGGATCCTCATTCCTTATGAACAACCAAAGTCCAAAGGGCTCTTAATGACGTCCATAAATACGTATACTCAAATCAAACAACTAATTGACTTAATAAACCAGATAATAGTTTATAAATCAACATATCAAAGAACACCACACACATCTCTATGAGTTATCATCGTGTTCAAACTTATCAGGTATAGAAGGATATGGTTTTTCACCATGTGACGTCACAGAAATCACCTATCTTTTCTTTGTTTAAATGACATAATCGGTTTTCGACACTTGTGTAGAATTCGTTTCGGAACAAGATATCAAACTCTAAAAGAAAGTGATTTGACTAAGCCAGGCAATGAGTCATTCGTAACTAGATATCAAACTCTACTTAAATATTATATGTCATCATTATTCAAGTGAGTCAAATTAAGACTTTCTAGTTAGAAAGGAATATGTATGCCCCACTAAACAAAGAAAAATTAAATCCATGTTTTTAATAGGGGATTTGAATATTCTAAATCATATAAATTGCTTGTATTAAAAAAATAATTTTTTAAATTAATGATACTTATACAGTGGAATATGTTGATGCTGGACTCTATACAAGCGCGTGGAAAATGAATTTGCCGGCTTTGGATAGAATAGGATAGAACGGTTAAAGAGAAAAAGTCTGCATGCTGCATGTAGCAATGCCATATTATAATATACACCGGTGTGGTAGCAAAATCTCATCGTCTTCAGTTTTGATGAATTTGTACTTATAAAATAATTAACGGTCAATAGATTTGGTGAAAGACCAAAGCTTCACGCTCCCACGAGGGGGATTTGGCCAATGGTCCGATGCTTAAGTTAGTAACTCTGAAAAAAGTGAGTGTTTAGGGTTTGTATGGGTAGTATTTTACCAAAATTTGATAGAGATTGACATATTTATAGGAGGATTAGCCGGCCATAGTGTTAGAGTTTTGCCCTACATATGACTGTTTCATATTGGCCAAGATGTGTCATCCATTAGATGAATAAGAAAAGGATATTCTCAAGATATAGATTAGGAGATAATATATCGGGAAGAGGATGAAAGGATCCATGATTGATTGTGATGGGGATAATATCTAGGGTTCCTATTAAGTTAATTAGGAACCTTTTCGAGCCTAAAAATATCGTGAAATGTCCACGATCACGTTGGAGCAACAGAGCTCCTCGCGGGAGCTTGGAAATTCTCACGATTCCAACGTCCTTTCTTCGAACAAAGGGTATGGTTAGGCTCGCGAGCTTGCAAGGAACTCGAATGTGGTCTCCAATAGCTGGATTTGTGCTAGATGAGGATGGTTGGGTGTATGGGTGTATGGGTGTATGGGTGTACGGACGGTACGGATGAGAGAGACTTCGAGAAGGATGAGGGAGAGGAAGAAAGGTTACGTGTGGGTGTGGGTGTGTGTGTGTGTGTGATTGAGTTACGGGATTGGCCGAAGAAAAATATCAAGGGCTTCCCATTGGGCAGCCGTGTGAGGGAAAAAGGAGAGAGGGAGAACCCAAGTGGCCCAAAACTTAATTAAATCCAATCCTGATTGGGGTCCAAGAAAACAGGAATAATTGCAATTGATCTAAGTTTTATTTTCCTACTTGATCCAATTGTATTCTAACGTTCCTAACTTTTTCATTACGAACCCAATTCAACCCTAATTCGTGTCCACTCGCTCGTGACGACGAATACAATTTAATTACATCAGCGAGAAAAATAATTTAGCACTCTATACGTACATCCACGTCACTAAGCCTCGAGGGCATAACCATCATTTTACATACATTCGGGGAGAAAATATTTGTTTTTATTCGGGACGGGTCGTCACATGAGCCCACTCTCTCCTCCTTAATATAGATAATATCGTTTGTTCAAAAAAAAAAAATCAAATTATATTATATTATATATATGTATATATATTAGACATGATATTGTAATGAGATGAAACATATCTAAATCTGCAAGCAGCCCTTACCACATTGATGGAAAAAAATTGTGCTTTTGCTTTCTGGCGTGGGTTTGAACCCCGTCAGCTTCCTAATCTAACATTTAGCCACTAACGCTATTGCCTTATAAAAAAACATATTTAATCCTACTAGATAAAGGATATATCTAATACTTAAAGGTTGGGATGATTCATGCCTGTATTCCACACGACACATTTTGAATTTAATTCTTGGCGTTGGTGAATTACATGATAATGACCAAAGGGAAGTTGAAATACCTCTGTGAATCTTTCTGACCTCTAAAAGATAGACTATTGTGATGAAACCCCGCTAATCTCTTTTTACAAACAAACATAAAAATACATGACTGGTCTGTAGAAAGGGTGATGAAAGTACATAAAATAGTGAGGTTTACTCGGAAATAACCTAAAAATAGAAGGTTTTCAGTGTAAATGTAAATAATAAAAAACGACACTACTTCATGCATGTCACAAAAACAAACACACTTTTGCCCCATCTCACCAAAGAAACAACACTAATATTTTGCCTCACAAAAGCTCCCAAGGAAACGCTTCTTCATCTTTGGATCCCCAGCCACTATCTTCCGATATCGATCGATCTACCTCCCTCCTCCGCCCTCCTCCTCCCTCCTCCCCCTCTCCTGTATGGGGGATCATCCACGTTGAGCGTCAACATCGGATCTCTACAACATGCTCGGAATATCGAATATCTGCAAAGGATACAAATCCTTTGTTATGAAATTGGCCCCCAACCATAAGCACGGAGACTCAAAGTTTGCAGACAATCATGACACCACCAAGGTAACATGCACACATTCATAATCCCTAATCATTAATCGTGCAATTAACACATGATTTACGAATGCGGAATTACGTTTGTTAAATTTAACGACATGTGTTACATATTTGATGATTGCCTTTATAAATCTATATATTAATTGACAATGTTTTCGTGATTTATATATCAAATTTACATGTATCATGATCTTGAAATTTTTTCTAGCTCGTTCCTGATGTAAATCTATGCTTAATTTGCATATTGTTTGTGATCCGAGGAGCAGGACGATGAAAATTTTACGATTAGTTACCCAACAACACCGGTAGGCGGGTTCGATAATCAACGAAGTATTGATGATAACTTCTTGCGCCGAAGTCTTTCAAGGACCTCGAGTAGAAGATGTAAGACACCGACACCGAGGAGCTTCTCAAGAAGTGCAAGCCGGAGCACCACTCCGACACCCTCGTCGTTGTCAAGAAATATGAGTCGAAGGAATGCCATGGAGACCGAAATTTCTGCTTCAGTTTCGAGAAATATGGGTCGAAGGAGCACTTCAGAGATGGAAATTCCTTCCCTTCTATCAAGAAATATGAGCCGGAGGCACCCTTTTGAGACTGAAATACATTCTCCATCACCCACCACAGCTTCAGCACCAGCCTCTCCAGCACCCGCTTCTCCATCACCCGCCTCTCCATCTCCAACCTCTCAAACGTCTAATGGCAGTAAATCAGGCACGTCTGATCAACCGGAGTCTTTATCAAGAAGTGTGAGCAAGAGGAGCACAACCCCGATTGTCTTCTCTCGGACAACTGCGAGAAAGAAACCTCGTCCGATTGAGAAGAAGCTTGCATTCACACTTGAAGAGTTGTGTCACGGATGCGTAAAGAAGATCAAGATCACAAGAGAAGTCATCAACAATGCTGGGTTTGTCACTAACATTGCTGACAATTTCTTACGTAATTAAGCAGCCTCTGTGTGTGTGTATATATAATGATGTGTATATGTGTATATATATAATGTGTGTATTTGTATATATATATATATATAATGTGTGTGTGTGTGTGTATCTACAGGATCATTGTCCAAGAAGAGGAAACACTGAAAATAAACGTGCAGCCGGGATGGAGGAAAGGAACGAAGATTACATTTGAAGCGAAAGGCGATGAGAAACCAGGTTACCTCCCAGCTGACATACTCTTCTTGATAGATGAAAAGAGGCACCATCTGTTCAAGAGATCAGGCCGCGATGATTTGGAAATCGCTGTTGAGATCCCTCTGGCAGATGCACTGGGAGGCTGCTCATTTCCAGTTCCTCTGCTAGGAGGAGACAAAATGACAATTTCATTCGATGACATCATATATCATGGCTATGTAAAGGTCATTCCAGGACAAGGAATGCCAAAGCTTAAAGACCCAACAGCGAGAGGCGACCTCCGCATCACATGTCTTGTAAAATTTCCGACACATGTGAGCGACGAGAAACGAGCAGAAGCAGTTGAAATTCTACAAGATTGTTCTTATGATTAACAGTTCAAATATCTCTTCATCACTTCTGACTTATGTGCAGAGGAGCCAACTAGCATTGTTCTCTTTCGATCTTTTCTCTACGGGACGAAAAGAAGAAAAAATACTCACACTTGTTGAATTTCTAATTGCATTGCATCTAGCCATGTACATAGCTCTCCAGTGGACCTATATAATGTGAGAACATACATATATAAATTCCTCTGAGAATTTTGTAAAAGATAGTGTTCGTAATGTATTTGTGCCAATCTTAGCAATCTTTCCTCGAGTTTGTTATTTTTCCGATACAGCGGTTAAGCTTCCAATTAGTTATCTTTCCTACAGAACCACTACGTACTAAATCCTAAACTCCACATGCTTTACCCTAATCTTCCAACTAAATCCAAATGTTTTATGGATAGAAGCACAATTAGTACAACAATGTGAATATGGCTGGTAACATCAGATGGACTTGATGTGTTCAATACGAAAAGCCTAGATTACGGCACTGAAAATCTTAAGACTCTAGCCAAACAACGGTGAAAGTAAGCGGGCCATTTACACAAAACAAAACGAATTAAGTTTGATTTTATCTATTCCCTTTGTACTTTGTATGAAAAGCTTCATAAGGATTGTCAATTTCCCTAGTACTCACAACACATTTGTGTTTTCTTTTGGTCTACAACAAAAATCAAGCACAGATGAAAACTGCGTTTCAAATTCATAACCTACAGGTTATTGCACATCAACAGCTTGAGCTTTTCGATGGCGGGTGCTGCCCAGCAAGAAAAGGAACTTCTACCACTGTTCCAGTAATGCCATCTCCAACAACTATGGTGTCTCCCATTTTACTTCTCACACACGCTCTCAATTTATTTCACAAATCATATATTTTTATAAAATGATGAGTGACGACGAAGGTAAAATGTCTGCAGTACAACAAAGCAAGCCTACATTACTCACCAAAATGATATCTTTACAAGTACGTCAACAAAATTTCCCTCCCCCTCCTCCGCTTTGTAATTGCCTGCTGTAGTAGTACTAGTACAACTGATCATCAAGTCCGTTTTGGATCCTTCCATCTTATGATCTTATGATCGTTGATGATATTTTCGAGAATCATACTGAGCTTGCTTTGCATGTCTTTCATAGTAGGGATCGACCCAGTAACGTACCCAAGAAAACTGAGCGAAGGAAACAAATCAGGAATATCAAACCCAATAGCGAGTTTGATCGATCCGTTTAGTAGCGGAAGGAACTCCTTTTGGTCTTTGCATTTTGTGGAAATTTGCCATGTCAAAGTGTCTTTCTTGTATTTTCATGAAGAATGAGGTTACAAAAGAGGGCTTTAGATAGAGACTGAAAAATAAGAAAGGAGTCAGCCTCCTTTAACACACAATCAGATTTTAAGGAAAAAGTGCAAGATACTACAAGACATAAACCCTAGAATTAAGGGATATGATAAAAAAGAGATTAGGTAGCAAACTGACAGTAGTGGCAGCAGCAACTTTTCCTGAAAATAAGGGATTGAGTTGCAGCTGCAACTAGTGACAATCAACTTGTAGTCTCCAGTTTCAATACTCCCCCTCAAGCTGGATCAAGAGGGTTGATTGATCCAAGCTTGTGCAACAGCTGCTGAAAATTTGTAGAGTCCAAGGCCTTTGTAAACAAGTCAGCAAGTTGATCGTGACTGCGAGTGTAAATTGTATTGATAACTTTGGATTGAACTTGAGCACGGATGAAGTGACAATCCACTTCAATGTGCTTGGTACGTTCGTGAAACACCGGGTTGGAAACAATATGCATGGCAGCTTGATTATCACATAATAGGGACATAGGTTCCTTGTTAATGTGGCCAAGGTCTGCTAGCAAACTCTTTAACCAGATTAATTCACAAGCCGTAGCTGTCATGGCTCTATACTCAGCTTCTACACTTGATCGAGCAATCACGGTTTGTTTTTTACTCTTCCATGTCACGATGTTTCCACCAACAAACGTGCAGAACCCGGTGGTAGACTTTCTATCTAGAGCATTACTTGCCCAGTCAGCATCTGTGTATGCCATAATATGATGTGAACCATTTTTCTTCATGAGCAAGCCTTTGCCAATTGACCCTTTTAAGTATCTGAGAATCCGTTTGACAATCTCCCAGTGAGTTAGAGTAGGAGAGTGCATGAATTGACTGACGAGGCTTACGGAATAAGTAATGTCAAGTCGAGTGATTGTTAGGTAGATCAACTTCCATACAACACGTTGATAGACACTAGGATCGGATAGGAGTTCACTTGAGGCATCAAGTTGGAGTTTGCTTACAAGAGGGGTAGATGCAGCTTTGCAATCCAACATATTAGTTTCTTCCAGAAGATCAATAACATATTTACGTTGATTTAAGAACAAACCCTTGGCAGACGTTGCCATTTCTATGCCCAGAAAGTACTTTAGGGTTCCTAAATCCTTAATTGCAAACTGTTGTTGGAGAGAAGATTTTAGAGTATCGATCTCTTCTAAATTGTCCCCTGTTATAATGAGATCATCAACATATATAAGGACAATTAATCTGCCACTTGTACCACACTCGAACAAACAATGAAGAATCTGCATGACTCCGTTTGAACCCTGCAGTCTCAAGAACCGAGCTTAACTTCAAGTACCAGGCTCGGGGTGATTGTTTAAGGCCATAAATAGCCTTGTGAAGCTTGCATACTTTGTTAGCTTCACTTTCTTGTGGATGTCCAGGAGGCATCTTCATATATACTTCCTCTTCAAGGTCACCATGGAGGAAGGCATTCTTCACATCCATTTGGAATAAAGGCCAGTTATGGTTGACCGCCATAGACAGCAAAACTCGAACCGTGCTCATTTTAGCTACATGAGCAAATGTCTCATTGTAGTCAATTCCATAAGTTTGAGTGAAGCCACGAGCAACAAGCCGAGCTTTGTGACGTTTAATATTGCCGTTGGAATGGTACTTTATCTTGTATATCCATCTACTCCCCACTGCATTTTTTCCTTTTGGAAGATCGACTATACTCCAAGTGTGGTTGTCATTTAAGGCCTTGAGCTCTTCTAGCATAGCTTCCTTCCATACTTGACTTTGCACAGCTTCATGGAAGTTTCTTGGTTCAACATTTGAAGATAACTGACTTAGGAATGCAGCATAAGATTTTGACAGTCTGTGATATGATAGGGCTTCTGAGATAGGATGTCTTGCATTGTAAGTAATGTATTCTTGAAACCTGGAAGGAGGATGCCTATCCCGAGTTGGATTTCGTCGAGGAGCCTCAAAAGATTATGGATTAGTGGCTGAGCTTTGTTCACTTGTAGCTATTTCCTCACTCTTAAGTTGCTCCGAGAGATGTTCGAGGGAATCATCCTGGACATGAGCTTCAATAAAACTTGCTGGAGTAGGCAAAGGAAATATATCCTGTAGGCCCTCCCCCTGAGACTCTTCACCACAATTTTTATGAAAGAAATGAGCAAATTCATCAAATCGGACATCTCTAGAGACTCTAACCTTACCATTATGAGGATTAAAGTATTTATATCCCTTTTGAGAACTGGAGTACCCCATGAAGACACATTTCACAGCTTTTGGTTCGAGCTTATCACGGTGTGCAACTTGAACATGGACATAGCAAGTGCATCCGAAAGTTTTGAGATGAGAGATGTCAATGTCCCTTCCCTTCATTACTCCCATAGGGGACTGTGAGTTTAGAACTCGTGTAGGTAGCCTGTTGATGATGTATGCGGCGGTGAGAAGAGCTTGTGACCAAAACCTTTTAGGCACATTCATTTGAAACATGAGAGACTTAGTATTCTCCAACAAATCATGGTTCTTTCTTTCAGCTACTCTGTTTTGTCGTGGAGTGCCAACACAGCTAGTACGATGCAAGATTCCATGCTCACTTAAGTAATTAGACATGTTATTGGATGTGTACTCAGTGCCATTGTCTGATTGCAGTATGCTTAGCTTAGATGCGAATTGATTTGTGATGAGTTTATGAAAGTCTTTAAAGGCATCGAAAAACTCACTTTTAAATTTTAAGAGATAAACCCAGGTAACCCGAGAGTAATCATCAATGAAGGTAACATAATATTTATATCCATCAAATGAGTTTACACGAGAGAGACCTCAGATATCTGAGTGTACGACCTCAAAAGGTTTACAGGATATAGACTTGGAAGAAACAAAAGGGAGCCTAGAGGCTTTAGACATTTGGCAGATTTCACAAGCCTGTGTAGGTTTACAAAAATTGGGAAAAAGTTTGGTCATCACAGGGTCAGAGGGATGAGCCAATCGAATATGCCATAGCTGGTAATCTTGAGAGAGATTGAGATTGGCAATTGGGTGCTTAAGAGACTTGAAATCTTTTGAGAGGTAATAAAGACCATTCAGAAAATACCCTTCACCCATCTTCTTTCGAGTAACCCGATCCTGAAATATAACACTATGAGGTGAAAAAATGGCAAGACAATCTAGAGTGCTGGTGATTTTACTTATGGAGAGAAGTTGGAAATGGAAAGTAGGTACATATAAGGCCGATGACTCAATCTCATCACTTAACAGTTTAAGGTTTCCTTTTCCTAGAATAGGTTCTCCATTCCCATTTGCAACAAATACCCGTGTGGACTCAGGCAATTTTTGAAACTTATCCAAGCAAACATACTGATTTGTTATATGATCAGTAGCACCAGAGTCAATAATCCAACAATCATGACTAATTTCATTAAGGGCAGAGTTGAGGGCAGTAATGATACCTGAGGCATTGTTATGATTTGAGGTTTTAGCCAAGAATCCTGCAAACTTGCCTAGTATGGTAGTAGGAGTTGTAGTGGATACTTCCTTGACTTCAGTGTTGCCTCCTCGTCTTTGAAGAAAGATTGCAAATTCATTTATCAACTCTATTGGATTGGCAGTGAAATTTGAAATTCCACCAGTTGAAGAACTAGAGGATTGTAGAGCCTTAGGGTTGATTCTTTTCCATTCTTTGATCATTCTTCCTTCCTTATCGTATTTTGGCTTCAACTCCGGATGTAAAATCCAGCACTTGTCCCTTAGATGACCTTTCATGTTGCACTAGGTGCATTTCCAGTCTGCTTTCTTATTGGCAAAAGATTTTTCACCAGTATTCTTAAGGTAGCTCGAGAAAACCCTAGCCTCGGGATTTGATTTTGGCTCTATGTTCATAACTTTTCTTCGAGTTTCCTCCATTTGGACAGCTTGGCAGACACCATTGAATGAGGGCAACTCAGGTGTCATCAACAAGTGACTTTGAAGATTTCATATTCAGCTCCTAGACGTGCTAGAAGTTGAAACACCTTGTCCTCATCAGCTCTTTTAAGGAGCACAGCGGAGTCAGTTGTGTGTGGTCGGTACATATCGAGTTCATTCCACATGGACCTCATGCTTCCAAGATGTTGCATGAAGGATTGATCATCTTGCCTTAGTCCAACAAGGTCCTTCTTGAGCTGAAAGATACAGGCTACATTGTTTTGATTGCCATACATTTCTTTAACTGATTCCCAAAGAGAGGTAGAGGACTCCGAGTAGCTAAAAAGTTCTGAAAACTATGGTTCCATGGAGTTGAGTATCCAGGACATAACCAACTGGTCGTTGGCATGCCATGCACCATATGACGATGGTGATTGTTCAGGCTGTCTGATGCTTCCATTGATGTATACTAGTTTCGATCTTCCACATAGGGCAAGTGAAATAGCACAAGACCAAGGGAGATAGTTGAACTTATTTAGCAATAATGAGCACAGACGCAAGTTCGGGTTGATCTCACCCTGAATAATACTAGGAGATGCGTTGTTTTAGGAGTTTGTAGCCTCCTGGTTTGATGAGCTTTCTTCAGTCATTGCAGCAAATGAGGCCCGGTAACAGCAAGAATTTTGAATGGATGAATCAACAGAGACATGACCCTATGGTTCCTGCTCTGATACCATTTGGAAATTTTCCATGTCAAAGTGTCTTTCTTGTATTTTCATGAAGAATGAGGTTACAAAAGAGGGCTCTATATAGAGACCGAAAAATAGGAAATGAGTCAGCCTCCTTTAACACACAATCATATTTTAAGGAAAATATGCAAGATACTACAAGACATAAACCTTAGAATTAAGGGATATGATCAAAAAGAGATTAGGTAGCAAACTGACAGTAGTGGCAGCATCAACTTTTCCTGAAAATAAGGAATTGAGTTGCAACTGCAACTAGTGACAATCAACTTGTAGTCTCCAGTTTCAATACATTTTTTCCCAAATGATGCATTCGACACTACATCATTTGCGAAGCTGCAGCGAGTGTCACTAAAATTGATGGCAAGTCCCTCGTGAGACATTGAGCCAATGGACTCAACAAGATTTCGTACCTTTTCTTCTCATACGGATCTGAAAGACTGAACACGTTTCGGGCTCAGCAGCTCGAAAATACAAATCTTTCTCAATGATCTCCATAAATTTGCATAACCTCTGCCGCCAAAACCATAGGACTCTGCGCAAATGCAAGCTCATGTGTCTGCCACCGAAATCACACAACTTTCACATCGATAACAGAAGTTCCAGAGAAAAAAAAAAAGCATCACCTTAATGTTGAAATATCCCACATCGACGGTTTCTATGAGAAAAGAAGAGTTTAAATATCATAACTCCACTCAAACTAATATTGAGACCTTTTGTGATAAAACTCCTAACATGTCGGACTGTGCAGGTGATAATTAACAAGTTGCCGATAATATATATCGGTGTTATTGAAAGTGCGTCTTTTACCCGTCTCTCTAATAATTTGACACTTATAAGCCTAAATAAAAAGCACAGAAATTTACTTACTCAAGAAAAAATGTAGTCACGATTGACTGTGGTACATACAAGTTGTGGATCTCGTAAATCGAATTATTGTGGCCAGTCTTAGTTGATACAAGGAGCCTTTGAAGTAGCAGACATATTTCATAGAGCTTGGAGTGATTAGGTTACACCTGTATCTTACCTTGTATTTCCTTTGAACTTTCTTTTGAGAGATTTTGATTTTAGTGTGGATTTCTTAGGATAGATGGTCGGTTATATAGATACAAAAGAAAGGATTAGGTTGTAGATAATGCCACCTAATGATTCATTAAAAAACTTATCGAAATCTATCATCAAAGATCCTAAATAGATGACGACACGTGGAGCAACGAGATTGGTTAAAAATCTTATTGGAAATCTATCCTCAACAATTCTAAATAGGTAACGACACGTGGCGCGACGGAATTAGATAAAAATCTTATTGAAATCTATCCACAAAATTGTACTTTCGGATAATGACACATGGCGTGATGAGATCCGGTTAAAAATCATATCCGAAATTTAAAATAAAAAAATCATCTTTTATTATTTTATAAAAAAAAATACTAATATTTTAACACGAATTGCCTGATATATTCAGTTTATAGGTGGAAATGCAATAGGTAATTATTGTTAATCAAAAGTAGTAACTATTTACTTGTGGGGATTGAATTACCTATATGGTCATATGGTCATGGGAAGCTTTTACACACTGCAAATGCTGTAAGGAAAGAAGGTTGCGGCAAGGGAAGCCGTGGCTGGATATTTTTGAAACTTTTAATATTGTAGCGGGAATCCTTTTTTGGCCCCGGTTTTGGTTGCTTCCAAATTTTTTTACCATGTTTGGTCCTTGTCAAATAACATTGTCCCCCCAAATGTGATGGTAACACTGTTTTGGAGATTTACAATGAGGAGATTTATGATTTGTTGTCGAGCAATGGCGGCGGAGGATTCGGGTTTGGATGGCCAAAGAGCAATGGCTCCAATTCTAAGGTGATAATATTAACTGGGTCTCTCTTTTCTTTGTTGAATTCTTGCCGATCTATGGTTTTCTGTAAAAAAATTCTATGTTTAGAACTGTAAATTCGGATTTGGAAAATGGGTTTTCTGTGCAAATTTCGATATTTGGATTTGGTTGGTTGTTGGTTAAACTTAGGGGGGACTACCTTCAATTCTAAGGTGATTAGACTAACTGGGTCTCTCTTTTCTTATTGAGTTGTTGATGATTTATGCGTTTTCTGTCAAATTTAATTTTTGTTTAGAACTGTAAGTTTGGATTTGGAAATGGGTTTTATGCAAGTTTGAATTTTTAGATTTGGTTGTGTTTGCTCACTGTAAATTTGATTAAGTTGGTTGTGTTCACTTAAATTCAAGAAAACTAATTATAACTTACTTTGAAGACTGTCAATTTATAAGGATGAATTATTGTGAGCTCAGTGTAGATTTGGTTAAGCGGCATGTGTTGGCTAAAATCGGAGGAAATTGCTCCAGTTCTAAGGTGATTGTACATTAATGGGTTCTCTCTTTATTAATTCTTGATAATTTATGAGTTTTCTGTCTGTTGCAGAGAGAGATGGGGGAGAGCATGGGGTAGGGGCAAGGATTCTCCGGGAGGGAGATATGGGTTTAGGGAGAAAAAGTAAGGGAGGAGTATTGGGGTAGGCTGTGCCATTTGGGGGTAGGTTTAAGGGGAACGCGTTAGCCATTCTTAATCGAGGTGATGGGGACAACTCGAGGGGTTGAGGTGGCGTCGGGAAGGTGTGTCGTTTCTTTCTTCCCCTTCTAAATCTCATCTTCAGTTCACGTTGCTGATGCATAAACCCATCAGTTCCTCTGTAATTCGTTTAGGTTTTCATTATTCTTTTTCGATTTGTTTTGTCAAAATTGGAATGGAATTTCTTGGCTTGATTTTGTATTAGGCTGCGAGAGGGTTATGTTTTTAGGGTTTTCTCTCCGTCCCGCTCCCTCTCCCTCCCTGTTTCTCTTATTCAATCAGTCCGATTTAGTTTTGCAATTTAGGGTTCAGTGCATTTCAATCTTTTTTACTGGAATATACATACATATAAATGTCTAAATTTGTTCAATTTTTCTATACACAGGGCTGGGTTAATTTGATTCTTGACCTATGATTGGATATTATATTACAATTGTGGGTTCTGTTTTTGGGAAGGTAACATCATCCTAATATATTTTTTGAAGCAATTTACTTATTTGCATTTTTCAGTTTTATGTGTCCAAGAGTTTTCAAGTGCTAGTAAGGACCTCGAAAAGGTTAATCAGTAGTGCTTTAGTGGTACAAAATGTAAACATCACTTTGAGTGATTAATATAAACTCTGTACGTTTTCGTTTTGAGTGATTAATCTTAAATACGTGGAATATGTGGATATGTAACTCCAAATGTTCAATTTTATCAAATGAGTGTTGGTTGGTTGGCTATTTTAATCATGAAAAGCAATTTATTTTAGTTGAGCAAACATTTGGGTACGGGATTTCGATTTGTTCCGCGTGGATTTTTTCTATGGTTTTGTTCTTCGTTTCTTTGGAAACTGATATTTGGTTGTGTCGTGCTTTGTGTACAGGTTTGGAAGCTGCGTATGTTAAAGGTGAGTGTTTTTGTGTTCTCCCTTTGGGAGTTTTGCACAGGTAGATTTTTTATTTTTGTGTGTTGTAAGTCTTGATTGAGCACTATAAGATGTGATTGATAATAATTTTTTTATGAAATCCCAATTGAATCTAGAGTGACAAGGTTTGCACACTCACCCTGAATTTATATATGGAGAATAAAGTTTTATATTGGGAATCCATGATATGTTTTTCTTAATCTGTTGTTCTTGATAGGAAGAGCTTGGTGAATAATGGTTTCTTGTTTGTTTTCAGAATTGAGATATATGTGTATTCGTGTTTTTGTTTACGTTTTCTACCTTTTAAGAGATTTTGAGGTTTTGATCCTGTTGTTTTTATGTTTTTTTGCTTTGCTGTTTTCGGCTCAGTTGTTTGTGTTTATTTTGCATTTATCAAAATTAAACTAGGGGAAATTGGTCTTTGTGTTCTCCAAAATCTTTAGAGATTACATTTGGCTTTATTTTTCATTTGATCTGTGTAGCAATTCTTTGCGTTACTTTTTGTGGATGTTATATGCTTGAATGGTGTTTAACTAATAGGCAATTTACTTTGAGGTAGAATGAGAGAAAAGTGAAGTATATGAATCAGCTACAAAGCAAGGTGTGCCTATTTCAAACCCAGGCAAGTGCCCTTTGAGGATACGTCGCATTATTAGAGGTATAAAAGATGTTATTGATTGTTTTTCTTTGTTTGTTAATTGGATTCAAATCGTCGTTAATGATATTCAATTGATGGAGAATGTCATCTAATTACCATTGAAATTTGATTGTTTTTCTTTGTTTGTTAATTGGAATCAAATCGTGGTTAATGATATTCAATTGATGTAGAATGTGATCTGATTCCCGTTGTGGATTGTCATTCATGTTTTATGGTTCTCCATCAGATGTTTTTGTGTCAACTCTACAGTCTAGACTCTAAACACAATGGTACCTCAATACAGTAAGCTTGGGTATTAAATATAATTGTCAGAAGATGTTGTATTGGAAGAGTTCTTTGTCATTGTAATTTCTTTCGTTTAATATAAAGTTTTAAATCTTGGGAGCAGCCTCTCCATAAATGGGGGTAAGACTAGCCGACATTCACCTCTCCCAGACCCTGCGTAAAGTGGGAGCCTTGTGCACTGGGTACGACCTTTATTTTTTTTTAATATAAAGTTTTAAATCTATAGCCTTCAAATTCTGAGATAAATGGAAAATGAATTTAAGGGCAGCAGTAGACTATTCAGTGCATTTGATACAAATATTATATGCATTGATTATGTTGTAGGATCCAAGATAACTGCAGAACTACAACCATACTATGGTCGCATCTTTCTAACTTATGTCATTTTCTGTAGCTTTCTTTCTTGCTTTTGGATTTTGGACTTAATGTGCGTGAAGTACATGTCCTCTCGACAACTGATGGCTACTCTTTAGATGTATTTGTGGTTGATGGATGGTCTGTTGAGGTAGTTTTCTTTTACTATATAATGTCGGTGTATGTTTGGTTTTTAAAGGGAGTTAAACGTTAGTGATTTATGGGTTAAAATATTCATTTGTTGGTCATTCATGTTTTATGCTGCAAGTTTACAACTTCATACCAATCTGACGTCATGTTTTCCCATTACAACTTCATACCGAAACGATTATGTGACCAAAAATTGAAACGATTTTGTGTATAAAATAAAGATCTACCTATTTTTCCTCAAACATCAGAACCGTCTTCGGCAACTGCTCCTGTCGTCTCCATTTGCTACTGCTGCATCGCATCTTATGCATCTACTGGTAACTGGGTTTCGGATTCCATGCTTGAAGCTTTCTTGTTCTTTTTGTTAGAGTCCTCTGCTTTACTGATTACAGTCCCCTTTTGCTTTTCTCAATCCAAACGAAAAGCTTCTTTTGCTTTTCTGTTTTTGCATATTATAATAATATTATTGTTAGTGGTCTAGAATATTTTAGATTATAATATAATTATATATGTTTTTATGTTGCTCTGTTGATCTCATAAATTTGAATTGTAACTTTTTATGCGACTACTTTGAATTGATTCTTACGATTTATATGTTGATAATTTAGGAAAATAAATCATTCTGATAATAATGCGAATGTTAATGTTAATCTAGTTGAGAATGTTGAAAATGATCATGGTACACTGTAGAAGTATGTCAAAAAGCTTGAAAGAGTGGAAAATGAAAGAGGAGATATTGTGTTTCAATGCAACTATTGTCAAAAGATTTTCAGAGGATCCTACTCTAGGGTCAAGTTTCATTTGTTAAAAATGTTTGGAAATGGGATCATCTCTTGCAATAAGGTTACTGATGAAGTTTTTGCAGAAATGAAAAAGCTAGTTCGAGAATGAGGGACTCTTTCCTTTTATTTTTTAAGTCGTTTGGATGTTCTTTAGTTTTTCAAGTTTGAAGACTAATTTAGTTGTTTAGTGGATTATCTTTTTAAATGTTTGAAGTTTATCGAAATAAATTTGAACTTGAATAGTATATTTGAATGCTTATTTTATAATATTTAGATATATTTATTTATTTATATTATTTTTAATTGCCGTATCCTTGCCGTATCGTGTCTTCATTTTTAGAAATTTGACGTATCCCCGTGTCGTGTCGTATCGTATCCCCGTATCCGGGTCCGTGTCCGTGCATCATAGGTGTAAGATATTGGCCATCATTTTTGCAGATAGCGTTATGTTGCCATTCCTAAGATACCTGTACATATATCTTTCTATATCGGGCCCACACTTGGGGTATCTTTACAGTTCAAACTCTTTATTCAGCTCCGGGCTGTGGCTCTTGAAGAAGCTCAAGAACACACACTGCATTCATCAGCTTACCTTCACCAATGATCCAGATCTTCAAAATACGTTCTTTTACAAGCTGGGTAAAGTACTGAATTCCTGTATTTAAGGCACTTAGCTTAGCCATCAGGTGTTAAGCTTCCTTGAATCTCGGATGGTTCCTCAGGGAGGGCAGATTTGTGGGTTTTTGGTTTTTAGGGTTTCACGATTGGTTTGCTCCTGGAGGTTGTTAAGCTTCCTTGAAAATCTGCATCTTTGCATTTCTTATGTGCTTTGTGTTTGTGGTTCTATATGGTTTGATGACCTTTTCCTCAATTTTTAAAAAAATATTTTTCTATTTAATTTGAACTGTTAAGATGTTTTACATTGTGGATTCACTTATAGACGCTGCACTCTCATTGTTTAGGTGTATAACGAGTCGATTCGTAGGCATTAATGTATGGCGGAGAAAGCATGGAAGAGAGATTTGGGATTAGGGATAGGGAAACAGAGGAAAAGAATATGATAGAGGAATGGGTTCAGTTCATTTTCACTATTTTTTAACTGATTTGGGATTTTGTTTGGGTTTGAGGCCATCATTGGCATTCAGGTGTTTATTGTCAGACCGTATGTGTTTTTTGCTAACTTTTATTGGTAATTTTTTATGTTGTTCTTGCGATTTTGTGTGGTAGGGTTTCTAAATTTTATCGTTGATCATTTGGTTTTTTGTTTGTGTTGGTTTGTTTGCTTTGCAGGTTGTGTTTGTGCTGGGACAACATTTTCCACCTTCTATTTGCACTGGGATGACTGCATTTTAAAATTGTTGAGGGTTAGATTTACATATGGAAACATTCCATTTTTTTCCAAATATTTGCATTTAGTTATCTTTAATTTTAAAATTTAAAAATTAAATCGTTATTTGAGTAAAATGTTTTCCATTGCTCTCAAACCTAGACCAATAGCGGAGCTAGGAATTTTTTACCGGGTGGGCTAGTTTAAAATTTTAAATCTTTTTAAATAAAGAAACTTGATAGCCTATTTCTCATAGTATCAGCTAGCTTAAAAAAATTCACAAGGTGAGCAAAAAACGTGTTAAAATTAAACAAATTCAAATTTGTACATGTACAAGAAGCGATGGGAAAAATAATGTAAGAAAAAGAGATGGTTTACAAACTGTATTATATAATTTTATATAGTTAAATTAACCTAGAAAATTCGAATTAACGACTAAATATTTGGTGGGCTTCAATCAAAATTACATGTAAAATTTTATTTTTCACCACAAGCTACCTGTAGCCCAGGGCAGCCCTTAACTTGGCTCCGCCATTGCCCTAGACTCCAGTCGAACTCACTTCCTTCAAGGCCACTTCAGCTCTTCGACTCGCTGCCCAGAAGATCAAGTTCTCAAGGTTTGATGTTTCATCAATTTCTTCCCCCTCAACGATTATTTTGGTCTTTCTTGTGTATTGATTTTTTTATTTTTGTTCACTTGGTGCGATGGCAAGTGCCTTCGCCCATGAGCGGTAGGTCTCGGGTTCGAGACTTGGGAGCAGCCTCTCCATAAACGGGGGTAAGGCTAGCCGACATTCACCTCTCCCAGACCCTGCATAAAGCGGGAGCCTTGTGCACTGGGTACGACCTTTTTTTGTTCATTTTATTGACGAAGAGAACAACGACTTTTGTAATATTTGTAGTCATTTACGCACAGATTCATAAAGCGGTGTTAACGAGCATTAGGCGAGGACTCATTATTTCCCTCTTGCTTTGCTGTACTGGTCGTGCTATATTGATGGAACTGCGACAGTGCTCTTCAGCTGCTTTGTTCTTCAATCATAATATGTTGCTTTTAATTTTTGGGGCAAAGCTTAAAGGAGATTGTGAAATACTGCACTGAGGTCCTCCCCCAACAAAGCCGTCAATGGCCTCCTCGCCCAAGGTCCTACGCCTATTTCTCTCTCCTCACTTTGTCTCTTTAAAATTTCAGATTTATTTCTCTAAATTTTTTAACTTGAAGTTTTTGGTTTTTTCTATTTTGGTTCTGGGTACTTTGTCTCTCTCACTCTGCAAATTTAAGCAGCAAAGCACACATCTTTGTGTTCTTCACTTCAGACAGTTCCGTATTACAGGTACATCCACTTTCTATCTATCTTTTTTTTTTCTTCTGTAAAGTGATTAGAGTTGTTTCGGTTATAATTGTGTTAAAATTTTAGTTAGGATTGAAATTATTGATTGTCCAGTTTTTGCTATGTGGAATTGGACGTGGGTTTTGTGTTAAAAGTCAAGAATTTGTGTGCAATAATAGGGATTGAGTTTCAAAGTTGTGTGCTTTGTGCATCAATTGGTGAATTAATTTGATTGGTTCTGTTTTTTGAGATTGAAATTTGAAACAAAATATTCATGCTTTTGTGGCGTAAGTAGGTGAATGAATTTGATTGGTTTTGTGTGGCTTCGCTGTTAAAGAAAAGCCAAAACAAAACGAAACAAAAAAGAAAATTAACAAGAGTGATCGAGCAATGATGAATAACCTTAACAGCGTCGGTGACCCTGAGTAGCATGAACTAGAATTATAGGTATTGACCTTTCCTTTTTGTGTTGAATTTTTTTTTTACTGATTTAGGGTCAGATTTGAATTGGCGAATTGCTGCGGTTATAGGAGAGCTTGATCATGGTGATGCAGGTACAAGAAAAATTGAGATGTTAATTTGATTTTATGTTTACTTTGGAGTTTTGGATACTGATCATGAATTTTGGTGGAAGGTATGAGATTTCTTTAATTTTTTGCTTGGTTTATGATTTTATTACTGGATTGGACTAGCTGGGGGCTATGGGTCTCTTCGAATTTGGATATTCAAGGGTTTCTGACGAGTTTTCTGTTTGTGGTTTTTGTTTTTAGGGCTCGGATTTTGAGTGTGGCTGTAGTTTTTTGGGGCTTTTGTGTGTAGGCTTCCAAGCTTTTTGTGCTTGGGCTATATAATTTCAGATTTTCCCTTTGACTTTTATTTTTGAAGAAAAATTTAATTTTGTGTGCTCTGAAGGTTGAATACGTAGGGATCTATCTGTTTTTATATTTTTGTGCATTTTGAGAATAACGTTTCCTGTATTTTACGGTTTTGTATCATATTTTATGAGTTTGCGCTCTTTCTTTATCGTTGCAATAGATTTTGCATTCCTTGGTGGGAAGTCAATGGAAACCCTACTGCTTGGATTTGGCTCTCCATTCACATTGAACACAATCTATTAAGCATAACAAGATGCCCATTCCTTTCTTCAGTTGGAAGAAAATGCAAACCCTATCAAAGTCTGTAACTGCAAGCAAACATGAGGAGACACAAATTGGGCAGAAGAAACCAAAAACAAAATTACGAGAAAAGCCAATGTGGCAGCAAGCAGTCTGGCAATTCTCCAAGAAATATGACAACTACCAATACATACGACAACGTCGTCCTTCTCAGATCTCCCCCACGAACTCCTTTCCGTTTGGATCATCTCAATTTTCTAACCTATTATTACACTCATTCCTCTGTCCTTTTCCTGTTTAGTTGATATAGAATGAGTTTTTGTTTGTTTTAGAGAATTTTTGTTTTCTTACCTATAGAAAGAAATTGAGGATGTATATTTTTGTGTTAGTTGGAAGGGTGGAGGCAGTAGTTTTTGAAAAAAGGTTGTTTTTTCCATTTTTTATTTCTGTGTTCATGGTTGTTTCAATGGATCTTCGTCTAATATAAACAGAGCTAAATTGAATGCCTATTTTTCTGCATTGTATTTTCCTTTTTAAATTCATTCCTTTTTCTTGATGAATGTAATTTGGTTTTGCAGTTCAAACTTTTCCAGCAAGAAGATTTAAGCTTCGAATTGGATTGAGGTATAAATGTTTCCACTTATTTAGTGTGCTCAATGGATTATTGCTTTGAATGCATTGTGGTTTGGAACATGATTTAGTACGTTTTTGATTGACAGTGAGAGATTGAGAGATTTATGTTTTGGGATCAGACAGAATCCCTTTAACCACAAAGACTATTTTTGGGGAGTTTTTTTTAGTGAGACAACGATGTTATTAAAATGCAGTTGGTAATTCTTTTTTGTAATTGATCAAATCCAAATGTGGTTAAGTTTAAGAAGGTTTTCAACATACCTTATACTCTTCATACCATTTGTTGCCTCTTCATTTTTTACCCTTTTATGTCTCTGCAAGTCTGCTTCTCTTATTTTGTGTGTGTGTAGAGAGAGAGGGAATGGCTTACATTCGGAGTGATCAAGAGGTGAGTGATTTTATTCAACTACAATGATTTCATGTCTTTTATTCATTTTTGTGTGTTGATTAGCATTTGTTTTCTATAATTTGGAGTGTGAACCATGAGTTACTTTACAGTAGTCTGTCTCATTGAGTTGGAGTTTCTTCCTTTTGCACACGAGGCAATTCCACGAGGTTATTCTGAGCAGACGGTACTCAAGGAGGGCATGTTTGAGGACCTGAGCTTGTCCAACAAGCAGCTCCGGTTTGTTTTGATATTTTTAATGGTATGCTTGCTCTTGAATTGGCGAGAGATGGTCCGGCAGCTGCTCAATCAGCTCAAAGTCTTGGTTGATGAGTGCAAGAGGACCTTCCAGGTTTATGATTTTCCATTGTTTTGTTATTAGGGTGCTTTGATTTGTTAGAAAACATAAGTTTAGTGTTCACATTCTTGCTCTATGTGTTTTTAATCTTTTCTAACTGACTACTATGTTCATTATCCTGTTAGTTAACTATGTATTTTTGTGCAGCCATGGGTAATGAAAAGGGAAACAGTTATTGGGAAAAAGAATTGCCATCAAATTTTGACAGAAGTGGGACTGAAAAATTTATTCGTGACAAGTAAGTTGTTTTCTAAAATTAATTATGAGCTTTATGTGGAACATGGAGAATGTTCAGTTATTATTTCCTTCTGCTCTTTTAACTTTCTTGGGAACTGTCAGTTATGAGCGTTATGTGTCTCTCTGTTCATTCATGATTGTGTTGAATTTATTCAAATTAAGTGTATTATTCATGCAGTTACACCTGAAACGGTTCCCGCCGCAACGCGTGAGCTTATTATCTAGTATAGTCGATAATGGTTATTTAACTCTTCATATTGCTCTCTCACATTAAAAACCGATGAGCTTTATTCTCCACATTATGTTCGTGCAAGTGGAATCCTTGCCGGACAACAACACTCAAGTTGGTGGGCTAGTTTTTCCACTCAAATTGGCCAACGGGACTCTACTATTTCAGTTACTCATCTGTCCTTATATATGAGTACATAAACTGAGTATCCGATGAGTTCCTATACTTTAGAGACTCATTTCTGATCAATTGGAGATTTAATTTGTCTTTATATTTGTTTTATACCGGTTTTATACAGTAGTTGTCCCTATTAGGGACAGCACTGGAGACGCTTTTAGCACCTTCATGTCTTCCGTTTTTGCTGTAAAACATGTCATGCTCTGAACAACTTATCATGCATGCAGTGGAGGGTTGATAACCTGTTAGGTGTGGCCCTTCGGGGAAGTGGTGTTGAAATAATTATAGTATTTTCAGCAGGTTTTAATTTGGGCCCGAACCTAATTTCAAAGAAAACTATACCCAATTTTTAGTAGATTATTCGAAGTTATTTTATTAAATTGGATCTGCATGCACGTTATGGCTACGTCACATTCTGAGCGACGGAAAACACGTCTTGATTTTAGTGTTCAACTTGACATCAGGTTAAGATGTGTCAATTTCATAAAAGAAGAAAACAGTGGCTCAAGCAACATATATGCTTGAGGAAATTGCATATCTACGAGAGAGATCATAATTAAACTCATCTAACTTAAGATTATATATATATATATATATATATATATATATATATATATAACTTCACGATCCGTATTAGGAATGTCATATTTATAAAGCAAATCTTACAATTTTATACAACCAAAGAAAAAAAACCAAGGAAAAGACAAAATAAATTGGCACAAAGAAGCATACAACAATGTAACATTCTAATTGGATAATAAAAGAGTAAAAACAAACCACACAAACTTGATCTATCAACACAAAATAGTTAATAACGTTCAACGATTGCAGCATAAAACTTCTTCACAATGCGATTTTGGAACTGAGAAAATGCATTGCTCCATGGCACATTAGACAGTAATGAACCAAGAACAATCCAAAACCCGAATGCAAAACCAAGCCCCAAACTCATATAGAAACCACCGTCTTCAAGAAAATGACCTTCTCTCTGCTTCTCATCACCTACTGGTGGCATGGCCTCATTTTTAATGCAACGCTCTTCCAATGGTGGTCCGCAAAGTTTATTGCCAACATAACTGGACAAATCAAAGCTTTGAAGCTGAGTGCTTTTTGGAATCTGCCCAATCAGATTGTTATAGGACAAATTTAGATGATTGAGAAATGTTAAATTCGAGATGCTTGGAGAAATTTCGCCAGAAAGTTGGTTCACAGACAAATCAAGCGACTCTAACGCTCCCATATCACCAATTTTGGAAGGGATTCTTCCGGTCAGAAGATTATCAGATAAATTCAATGTTTGTAGACTAGTGAGGTTGGTCAACTCTTCAGGGATTTCTCCAAATAACATGTTCCTTGAAAGGTCCAAGCTAGTTACCAAACGAAGCACTGTGTTATATTTCACTTCTCTGCCTTTGGCCACAAAAACTGCATTCTCTATGTAGGAGAATTGAAAAGAAGAACTATAAAACTCATAAACCGAGAATTCAGTACCGGAAGCTCCTTTGCTTGTAAATTTATTGGCCATGGATGACAAATTTTGGAAACATCTAGGTATCGTTCCCGAGAGATTGTTATGTGCAAGGTCCAAGATTTGGAGCGTTCTGAGACTACAAAGTTCATCAGGAATGGTGCCTTGGAACTTATTTGAACGAAGAATAAGAACCACCAAGCTTTGGCCAAACCATATTGGAATGCTTCCAACAAACTTGTTTCCACCAAGGTCAAGAAGTAACAACTGCTCGCAGTTTTGGAGGGACACGGGTAAATCTCCAGATAGGTTGTTATTGCGCAAGTGCAACGACTGAAGGAGAAGTAAGTCTCCAATAGAGCTTGGAATTTTCCCTGTCAAATTGTTGTCTTCTAAATTCACTACTGTCAAGTTTGGCCAGTGTAACCAACAATCAGGAATTTCTCCAGTGAGGTGATTGTTGTCAAGAAGAAGAACTCGAAGGTATTTAGGTACATCACTCGTATCACAAAAAAAGTGAGAGAGACTTCCTGAAAATGATGAATTGGAAAGATCTAGTACAAACACTGCCGAAGACACAAGAGGCAATGAACCGTTGAATTGGTTAGATCCTAAAAAAATGTCAACTGTTTGCAAATAAAAATCCAGTTTTTGCCAATGGGTAGAAGCTATATTTGGAACCTCCCCGGACAATTGATTACGCGAGAGATCCACAAAGATACTTGCATATCCCATTTCTTGGCTTTCAACAGAAGAAATGTTCCACAACCAAGCCGGAATGGTACCTGAAATTCCTGTACTGGACATATTAAGAGCGAGCAAATGTTTTTGACTCTGAAGCCATGCAGGCAACTGTGATGGGTCCAGGCGCCAAGAACTTAAACTCAACAGAGAAAGTTGAAAAGGAGGAACCCAGTCCGGGCTAGTTTTAAGAGTCAAGGAGTTCTCATTTGCATAAAAGGTATCCAATCTTGTAAGATTAGTAAAATGAGCTTCAGAGACAACGCCCTCGAATAAATTGTTAGAAATGATCAACTCCTCTAAGCGTGATAGATTTCCTAAAGACACTGGAATGAGACCTGATATTGAATTATTTGAAAGATCAAGGCGGTGTAAATTTTTAAAAATTCCCAACTGATCAGATAAATGACCTGAAAAATTATTATCTGAAAGCTGTAAAGAATATATTTGACCAAAACTACAGCTAGACAAACTTTCAAAGATTTCTGATACCCTCCCTCGAAAATTGTTTGACGATAGATCAAAAGAAGTCAACTTACAAAGATTTCCCAATGAGTTTGGGATTTCCCCTTCAAGCTGATTAGAACCTAATTCAAGATCAACAAGGGCTGTCAAGTTTCCAAGGGAACTCGAAATTTCACCATGGAAAGCATTGGAAGAAAGATCAAGGGACTCAAGATGGTTCAAACTGTACAACCATGTAGGTATGGCAGAGTTGAGATAGTTACCGTGTAGATCAAGAACTTTAAGACTTGTCAAGTTCGGAATACCACTTGGTATGTGATAAAGTTCGCAGCTTGACAAATGCAACTCGACCAGGAGAGAAGGGAGTGTGTTTACTTGTAACCAATGAGATGCCCTGGTAAGATCTATATTACTCATGCCAAGATGTTTCAACAGAGAAAGACCAGAGAGCCATTTGAGATTCTCGACCTTCCAACCATAGTTATAAGAAAGGTCCAGATAACGCAGGCTCGAGAGATTTCCCAACTGATGAGTAATGGTTCCGCTGAATTGGTTCAAGGACAGATCAAGAACTTTAAGACTTGTCAAGTTCGCAATACCACTTGGTATGTGATAAAGTTCGCATCTTGACAAATGCAACTCGACCAGGAGAGAAGGGAGTGTGTTTACTTGAGGTATGGTAGAGTTGAATTGGTTCCAGGATAGATCAAGAACTTTAAGACTTGTCAAGTTCGCAATACCACTTGGCATGTGATAAAGTTCGCAGAAGGACAAATGCAACTCGACCAGGAGAGAAGGGAGTGTGTTTACTTGAGGTATGGTAGAGTTGAAATAGTTGGAGGATAGATCAAGAACTTTAAGACTTGTCAAGTTCGCAATACCACTTGGTATGTGAGAAAGTTCGCAGCCTGACAAATGCAACTCGACCAGGAGAGAAGGGAGTGTGTTTACTTGTAACCAATGAGATGCCCCGGTAAGATCTACCCAACTCATGCCAAGATGTTTCAACTGAGAAAGACCAGAGAGCCATTTGAGATTCTCGACCTTCGAACCATAGTTCCCAGAAAGGTCCAGATAACGCAGGCTCGAGAGATTTCCCAACTGATGAGGAACGGTTCCGTCGAACCTTGCATCTGAGAGATTAAGATATCTTAAACCTTTAAGAGAACCAAGAAAGCTAGGAAACTGTCGTCCTCCAAAATCATTGTAGCTCAAGTCCAAGTAGGTGAGATGCTTTAAATTGAGTAGAGAAGGATTTACCTTACCACCCAGCCTATGGTACTCACCAGCCACTTCATCATAATAAGCAGCAAGGTGGAGCTCACGGACATGACCGGTTAAATTGTCGCAGGCAACACCGGTCCAGGTGCAACAATCGCCTTCAGCAACCCAAGAGGAAAGCAGATTTGAAGAATCATTGAGATCTTTCTTGAACATAAGAAGTGTTTGTCTCTCATTTTCTGGGCAAGGCACATTCAGGTTTCCATTGCATAAGCTAAGTGTAAAAGACGCAATGGATAGAAGAAAGGTGAGTAGTGGAACAAGTCTCATGACTCTAGCCATATAGATATCAAGTAGGTGATTGGTGTGAGGAATGAGTAATTTAGAGTGCTATTTATACACACATTAGTAAAGATAATTACCACAAATTACTTTTCTACATCTCCAGACCTACATAGACGGTAGTGAGTCAAGAGATAAAAGACAAAAAGGATGGTCCATCCCCAAAACAAATTGCAGACAGTGATGGTTCAACTTCATCCCCAAAACATAAATACAAGTACAAATTGCAGACGTTCGACCACTTTTATACAGCAGGAATTGATTCTCAATTTCACTCTTGATAAATAAAAAAATGAAAATTTAAAAGGAAACAAAAGCCTAGATGCCTTTGCGCCTCCTTCCACGGCAAAGCCCCACCCAGTTTCCGCCATGGCTGCTGTTCCAAAATTTTCTGATGATTTCCTCATCAGTCACGGAAATTTCAAAACAAAAGAATTAGCCTTGCAGCTTCCCAGTAACTTGTAATGTTATACTTTCTTCGCAACCATACATAAACTAAAATTGAATCTAATTGTCTAACCTTCAAATCAAATCCCGTTTTCTTCTTTACCAACTCTCCAAATTGAATCTAATTGGCTATAATTTCCCGTTCACAGGAAGGTAAAAAATGAACAAGATGTTTGAACCCAGAATAAGTTTGGGTCTATATTAGGCCTAATGCTTTTATTTCACTCAAGTATGAATGGATATTTAATTTCAACATAAGTGAACGGTAACTGAGCTCGAGGATTTGAAAGTACTTTACACGTGGCATTGTGGGTGACAAACACTCTGTCACACTGTACATTTAACCCAATCGGTTTTACAGAGAAAACGCTACTTTCTAATGACATTTTGGTAGTTTTGAGGAGATGGAAGCTCAAGTTGCAATGTAAATAATTTTTTTCTTCCTTCACTATTCACATCAACAATTAGGAGCAGACATAATTATACTAAGAGTAAAGGGTTTAAATGGGAAGAAATGTATGTTCTATATATAGGAACATAAAGAAAGAAGAAAAGGGCACACAACTCACAACTCATAAAAACTTTGAAGCTCTGCAGCCTACAATATTCCAAATTCCTTATGTAATCTAGCATATTTGTACTTGTATTCATGTTTATAGCTTTGCTACTTTGCATGTAGGATCGGTTCCCTTTAAGAAAATTCTTTTCAAATCACTTCAAGTTATTGTATTTTTCATTTCTTTTAAGTTATTACTTTGTAGTTGGATATTTTCCAAGTATTTAACATCATTTCTTTTCTGTTCTTTCATTTTCTTACAGTCTTTCATACATTTATGTGAACATATTCATGTGAGAATTGCCAACTAAGTTGAACTAAGAGCCAATCAGCTTGTGGTTATTATTTCTCATACATAAAGAAAAAATTTGAAGTCCTTTATAAAATAAGGCATAGAAAAGAGCTTTTTAATTAAAATTAGCTACTTGTGCATTGAAAATGAAATAATATAAACTTCATCACTTTTCATGATTCATCTCTTTTAAATTTGAGTGGTAGACAATGTTCTTCCATAACTTATATGTCAGTCTACAGGAGAGGAAAAAATGAACAAAATGTTTGGACCTAAAATAAGTTTGGATTAGGCCTAATGCCTTTCTTTCACTCAAGTACTAATGAATATTTAATTTCAACAAAAGTAAACAGTAATTGAGCTCAAGAATTTGAAAGTACTTTACACATGACATTATGAGTGACAAACACCCTGTAACACGGTACATTTAACCCAGTAGGTTTTACATAGGAAAAACTACTTTTTAGCTTGGAATTTTATGAAAAGAGCTTTCTATTTCTACATATCCCTTTCCATGTCACACGGTACATTTAACCATGTCGGTTTTACATGGAAAAAACTACTTTTTAGCTTGGAATTTTATGAAAAGAGCTTTCTTTTTCTACATATCATTTTCCCTATCACACGGTACATTTAACCCTGTCGGTTTTACATAGAAAAAGCTACTTTTTAGCTTGGAATTTTATCCTTTTTCTTGTCACACGGTACATGTATCCCATTCGGTTTTACATAAGAAAAGCTACTTTTTAGCTTGGAATTTTATGAAAAGAGCTTCATTTTTCTACATCTAGCGGCCTAGTTGGTTTTACATAGAAAAAGCCACTTTTTAGCTTGGAATTTTATGAAAAGTTTTTCCTTTTTCAACATCCAACCACGCAAAGACGTTTGACAAAGTGTATAAGTCAGTCAAGAGAAATAAGACCAAAGTGATGGTCCATTCCCAAAACAAATTCCGAGCAGTGATGGTCACACGTGGCCAAATGTAGACACACACTTGAACAGGTGCACATGTAATCTGTAAACACGTTTTAGTATGTTGAGCATCTTAAAAAAAAACATCAAATTCAAAACATCAAATTTTTATTTGATGATTGATTTGACAATTTGACATGCTGTTAATATTTTCATTCCACCCAATAAGCCAAAATTTATTGTTTTATTTATGTTTTTTTAAACAAAAATAATAAAAGTTGGGTTGTTGGTTTAAAAATAATATAATTTATTACTTCATTTAAAGTAAAGCAAGTGGAATACCTTTGAAAATAAAAAAAAAAAAAAATCCAATTTGAAAGCAACTTCAAATTTAACATCTCTTTGTCCATGTCAACTTAACCTTCTTTTTCATGTCATCTTTGGCATATCGGTTGAAGTAAATGATATGTCAGCTTAACCTTCTTTTTCATGTCATCTTTGGCATATCGGTTGGAGTAAATGATATGTCATTTATTACTGTTATATATATGTGGCTAGTTAGTTCTTGGAAGTCTTCCAATCCCATATGTGAAATGCTAATGGACTTGCACTTGAATAGGTATGGAAGGTGAACGCAAAAACGATTGTAGAGCGATCGCCTGTACTCAAGCTTAAGAACATAAAGTCGACTCGACTTGTCTTCACAAAAACAACTGTAGGGCAATCGCCTAATTAGTAAACGACGATCAAATGATCTAAGAAGTGCACAAACCCGTGATTCAACCAGCAACCGCTCGATCATGCAGTTGATGCAGATATCTTGGCTCCTTAAGATTGCGGAGTTAGAATTTTGTGTTTATGATCAGAACCGTTCATATTATAAATCACCCTGTAAATATCATCTCCACAAAAAATCAATAGCTGCCCTTCCATAATCATTGAACAGATGGCCACCTTGTTCGTATACTTTAAATCAACAGTGCAATACCAACTCAAACACCTAAACCTCCAACACTACAAAGCAAAAAATACATTCGCAACAAGAAACTTGCAATTTGCAAAAGAATACAGGCTTTCGACCCTTCCGGGAGACGTTTGCTTGGGGAAAGACATTGCTCTTTGAACAAAAATACTTTATTGGGCAGCTTTCGACGTTTCATTGTACAAAACAAGGGACCCAGAAACATATCTTGGATCGGCATACGAAGGAACTGGGAGGAACGGAAACGGTGCAATAGAGGCGTATGATACAGGTGGGCGAACTTGTGAGCCATCTGAGGTATTCCTCAACCTACTCTTCCGTTTGACATTGCCGTCTTGTGAGGACAATGAAAGCTCAACGCTACTCTCTAAATTCTCTTCAGAAAGGCTTTGTTGATTATCAACGATGCGGTGGAACATAATCCCCGACATAAATACAGGAAGGTAAAGAAGGCTGGCATGAAACATCTTCCTTGCTTTATGTGTAGTACGGTCTCGGTAGAACGAAAATGATGTTGCAGCTATCGCGAGAGTAAGAAGAGTAGATTCAAGACAAAACCATCCAGACGTCATACCCCCTGCAGACAGAAGAAACGGGCGGAATGAGATGTAATCCCCAACATTAATTATTCCCTGATTAGTGATCAAGGGCCAAAGATTGCATCTCAAGCATGGAACATGTTGGTCATTCTACTACCAAGAAGAGTTGCATGATAACAAAGATGACATTTCCGATTAATCAATCACGTACTACGATGATCAAGAATTGTCCCCGCAGTATCATACAATTGATAATCGGTAGAAGGAACCACAAATTAAAGTCAATGTACGAGAGGACCAATGACATATGAAATCAACCAAAACCATGAATAACAAATATAACTCGTCAGCTTTGTTAAAACCATCAAGAGTCTTAGGAAAATGCAAATAGCTAAAGACTCAAAATGCAATCTGAAAACAGCCATATCAGACACGAAAGCCAGATAACAATCTATTTCGTGGAAGAAAAAAATGATAACATTTCTTGCGTTTTTCCCAATGGTAAATGTAAGTCTAAATCACTTATTTGCAATTCAAAGAAGACAAATGCTGACACCTCTACGATGGAAAACCTTCTTTCAATAAGACATAAGATTGATCGAACATTGGTTGAAAAGAGAGAAGAAAAACAAAAATGCTCAAAGAGCTTTACAAGACAACCACCAATAGAAATACAAAAATACAAATAGAAACACGATTAGGAAAAGAAAGATGGTTTGTGAGTCTTGGACTACAGTCATAGGCCAAGAACCCCAAAGGGATCATGTATATGCAATTCCTTAAAGCTACTGAGGCTGTTCTCTGACCAGAAGCATCAGCAAGGGAGAACATCCTAAATCTGAATATGAATCAAACGAAAAAGGATTAGAGAGGAAGAAGCCAAGTGAACTGCATCAATAATCTGTGGACCACCATCACACGTACAAAGATCCAACCTACAATCAGCTTGACTACAAATTCCTAAAATCTCATGCTAATCATTTAAAAGGGGAAGTAAATTGGATAACAAAACGGCTGCTCACACCATTCGCTCTCAAAAAGTATAAAATCTGTCGACTATAATTCTTTCTGCCTTGACCTCATAGGGCATAATTGGATATTGATTAATTCTTTCCATGAACAGATACATGGCCCATGAAAGCAAAGGCAGGAAATAAAACTCCTGTTCTGAAACAATTTCCAGGTGCAAAATATTTGAATCTTTTCAACTGATGACATAAATGTTAAAGTAAGACCATGAAAGACCCAGAAGCTCATACCCTCCAGCGGCATAGTCATTACGGCACAAGTATGCTAGGGCCATAAAATGAGGTATTTGCCAAAAGTAGAGAGCAGCTGGGAGTAGCATTGCATTGAGGGAAACCTGGCCGGAAGCTGCAGCCCAGCTGAAAGAGCCCAAAAGAGAAATCACGAGCCAACATGCAGGAAAATTCAGTTCTTGATATATGTCATGACTCGTAATGTAACAAACAAAAATATCAGTTAGGTCTGCAAAGGGATCAACATGAAGAAAACGATAGAGTTGAAAAGAAAACTTCAATACGAAGAATTATAGAAAAGAAAACTAGATCTATTCACATTTTTTTTCGATAAGAATTATTCTCATATGAATAAGAAAAAATAGGGTTGAATTATAGACAAGAAAATAGTAAAACTAATAGTACCTACATAAAGTTTCTATTTTTATGCCTACAGCTAAAGTCAGTCACCATGATTCCCAATCTATCCATAACAACATCCTAAGACCAAAGTTGATTGGCAGTGTGTGGCTACGTTAGAAGCTTCATTTCTAAAAATCCATGAGGCAGATAAAATGGGATATCAGAGA